ACGAAATAATTTGGATATATCAACAAAGTTGAAGTGGTAAATTGGCCGCCGTAACGATTACAAAAGCTGACGTTTCGAGCGTTAGCCCTTCTTCGGAGCGAATAGAGGAATTGTGGGTTGTGTGTGCTTTTAAAGGCAGAAAATGGAGCTTCGTTATTTGTGGGAACATGGCAACGAGAAAAACACGAATAAATTAGTGGAATGAAGAGAGCAGGTGGGCTTTTGTGGTTCAGAAAACAATGTTATACTAATGCATAAAGGAAAATTTGTGACATTATTTTTCATTTTAATGCCAAAAATTCTCCTCTTATAATTAAACCGCAACAAGAAAAACGGAAACAGTTTTTACCCAAGAAAAAACTGTATCTTCGAAAAGGTGTTAAAGTTCAGAACATGAATATCGATTTTAAAAACGACTTTAAATAAATAGTTAACCACATCTTATTAATACTTACCTGAATTCTCACTCTACGTGGGAAGATACAACGAAAATATCAATTTTGAGGATGCAACTGTTGAAATTGTTTCTTACTAGCACTGTAGATGGACTGCTGAAATGTCACTTTAAAGAAAACAACTCAGATTCGCACGAATATAACTAAAACAACTTGGAAAAACACAAGAATTTATGATCTAACTAAGAGGCAGAGGATGCATCGACGCTTTTGCTCGCAAACGAAGTAAGATTAGATGCTCTTCGCGGGGTGATATATGCCCTTTTAAGGAGATGCTTGGAGAAACATCGGATCATATTCTGACCGACCAGTTAAGACGTTATCCAGTTGCTTAGCACCCGAGGTAAAAGCCGGGTGACTTGGGAATAAGAGCTGTATTTAACAATATTCGGCAGATGTTAACTTTTCCAAACATTTCCGCTGGAGAAGAAATAAAGTCAGTGAACAAAAATTTCGTTCCATGGCGTCTTGATGAAGCTGTGATATTTTCAAATGAAATAAGAGTGGCAAGGCTAATGCCGATGATATTTGTCACTTTGGGGTAGATGGCTCAAAAAAGTTTTTAGCCCCCTCTAATTGCAAACAAAAGACTCAGAATATTCTTTCTCCACTCCATCTAAGGCGTTCACATTAGATAGTATCATTTTGATGAATTGAGCAATGACTAAGATCTTGTAGTCCCCGATGAAAGGCAAGACACGGTGTCTAATGCATTTCCATTCCAAGACCTCATTTGTTCATTGTGAAAGATTGTATTTTGTACAGTCTTCAATGTTTGCAAATCAGGGTTGCTTGCGCCATTTGCGAATTTTTACAGACGGACATGTGAATGATCTTGCCTTAAGATGGGAAGCTTCGTGTTTCCATTTGGAGTTTAATAGTTTTCAGCTGTAACATTAACAAAAGGCAATAATGAAGTAATGAATAAATATGAAAAACACTCAGCTCCTCCCTATGGACACAGAGTCAACAAATTAAACGAGTGAATGGAAGTTCACTGACCAGAAAACGTTTAAGGTAGAAATGATTGTGTGATATATAGGTTGGAGGGCTAAAGTATATCTTTATCCTTTACACCCAATATTAATCTTCACCATACTACTCTCCCCACATTTCCTGTGGCAGTGACGAGGAGTATTTTAAAATTGTCAATCAAAAACTTCTTAAATTGGTGATCATTTCCTGTACTCTCATGACCTATATACATTATTCAACGGATAAATTAGAGGCCAGTCAGTCTCAGAGTTTAAAGGGTTGAGGTTCGACGGTAGATCGTTGAATAGTGAAGCGTTCAGGTAAAGCCGTTACATTTCAGCCTTTAAAAGAAACATTTGTGTCCTGTGTTCTCAAAACCCAAATGATTGGGACCTTGACTGGAGTTATCTCGCAAATTTTTTATTATCGGTTTAGGAGGGTATCTTTACCTCTTTATCTTTACAGTAACAAGTAATTCTTCTGGTGTTTGAGTACCATCTGTATTGTTCGTAGTTAATGCGTTGATCAAATTCCCCACCCTCTCGCCTGAACAACCCTCCGGGTATTTGAACCTTTGAAGATTAGCTCGTTCAAATTCCCGCCCCGAAAACTGCTTTCAAATGTCCCACCCAATATTGAACGTTTCTTGATGTGACTTTTAGCAAAGTCATGTATTGGTTTTTGGCGCTGCTGTTGGGTTTTTCCGCTTGTAAACATTTAATATTATTTATTCCTGCTATTCACACATTGGAAGAGAAATATACTAGAACAGCCAAAGCCGAGGGCTTCAATGGCCTATGGTCAGCAAAAGACGTGAAAATTTTACAAGAGTAGAAGAAAGCTTTCACTGGGCGAAAAAACAGATTTGACATCAAATACAGTCCAAATGTGGTTCAAATGTGATGTTTGTCATATTTTTCAGTATTTGACTTGAAGACAAATATGACATTTGTCCTAAAGATAAATAGGATAATTGTGCATTTGCTTCTGGGTGTATATATGGACAAATGTGGTGTAAATCTGAGTAACATATCATGATTTGTCCTGCTCTAAACAAGGACAAATGCGTTAAAGATAACATTTGTAAGAACAAATTCAGGAAAAATGTTGAGCAAATATCACCTTTGTCATGGAATAATCCAAAATTCTCTTCCCCTGCATTGACCCTGTTATCAATTTGCACAAAATTGCTTTTTCAACATGTTATTTCAGTATTGGGGCTGCAAGTACCCAATAATACACCGCATTTAATAATATGTCAGAAATTTCATTGTTTCAGGGGTAGTTTCATGTCCAATCATCTCACACCCACAGTCCTGACTAAAATCAACACACATAAATGTATAGTAAATGGAAAATTTATTTAACATTTCTCCTTTTTTTGTACAAACAAAACCATTTCTGTTAAAGAAAATTAACATTTAATAAATAAATATATTTAATCAGCCCCTGTACGCTTATATATATATACCATATATGTGATACAGAATATAACCTCAACTTGAATGGGGAAAAGCTACAATGTAAGTTTAAAATATAACATTATTGATTTTAAATCTTCACAACACTACTGCCAACAGGATGTTCTCAACAAAACATTTTCATATGAACTGTACTTAGTGTGTAATGATTCATGAAGAGGAGTTACTTGCAAAAAACTCCTACTCAGGAACTGCCTGCCCTATCAGTTTCAATACAGTAGGTTCCTTTTTTATAAGGCATTAAAAGACCGAACATCATCGCAACATACCAATTAGTCTTTGATCACATCACCAACACAGCTAATCCTACAAATTACTGTCAAACTGCTGGTAATTTTTTTTACAGGAACTCACCAACATTAATATGGTGGTGCAATGTTCCAATATTGATTGACAGTTTGCAATACAATTAAACCAAGAAAGAAAAGGTCAGTCTGAAAAAAAAAAACTTACAATTGAGATGCAATGCTTGGCAACTAGTTTAAATATTTAAACAACTAATAATAAATTCCTATACACCACACAAACAAATACAAACAAATACACCTAATATAGTCCTATAAGGATGCAGATTATGCATAGGCTAATTAACTACTGAGAGAAAAGTACAGTCTTAATTTTTTTTTATAGTTGCTTAATGTGAAATTATTGCGTACCAATAATGGAATATCATTCCAAATAATAGGAGCTTGCCAAGTGATAGCAAATTGATATTTATGACAAGTTTTATGCAGATTAAAATGTGAACAAGTCAAATAATTGTGATATTCAGAATTAAAATCAAGCATCGAGGAAACAGGAGCAGGTAAAAGGTTATTAAAATGTGAGAATACAAAACAGGCAACATGGAATTTATAGATAGAGTAAAGTGAGAGAATATCATGCTTAGAAAAAAGGGGATTAGAGGATGTGCGCGAAGGAGAAAAAGTAATTATACGAACGGCTTTCTTTTGAAGTACATAAAGGGGTTTAAGGTAAGAAGCATAAGTGATGCCCATATTAAACTGCCATAATTTATGTAGGGTAGGAGAATTAGCTGCAAAAAAGTTAGCATTGGGATCTAGGTTTGAGTTTGTTAATAAATGAGATGTCTCAGGGTCATCAAAAAAAAGGGTTGAATTTCTTCTGTTTAAGCAATTCCGCATTAAAAACACCCTGAAGATTAAAATCATACAGTGCAAAGAAGAAATCAATATCATTGTCGAAATGATTGAATGGAAAAAACTAGCCAGACATGCTGAACAGTACCAGTCATGACTTGATAAAGACATAGCACTGTATTCTAGTCTGGTAAAAGGAGTACATCCAAGGTGTGTCCAATTATGGCAGCTATCACAGAAGATTGCACGGTGATGGTTATGGATATTAAATCTGCAAACTGTGCATGGTAACTTAGGAGGCATAACAATATTAATTACAAAGACAAGTAAAAAAATTAATGGATAGTAATGATATATAATAGAAATAACAAAACAACAAAAGGCAGATAAATGCAATGACAAATTATTAAATTTACATATATAATACACTTTGCAAGAGGACGATAAATAATCATATCCATTGGAGAACAAGATTTGAAAAGACATTTAAAGTTCAAAGACAAAGCTTAACTTAAGTTCCATACGCCGAATAAGTTCAAGATGGAGAAAATATTTAAACGAGTTCAAGTTCATCAGTAAGCAGACTAACCAAAATGAAAGATCATAGTCAATACTTACCTGAAAGTCTATAGGCCAAATCAATTAAGATGGAAAATATTTTCGGACGATTTCACGACACATCATTCCACGATGTGAAAATTGGCTTTCTAAGCGATTCGCTCGCGAAAGCAGACTCTTTACTTTTAGACTCTTCCATTAAAACGCGTTTCTCACGCTGGAAAGAATTAGAATTTCCGGTTCACATGGCTCACCCCACCCAGACAAGATTCAAATTCTCCACCCCGAGCACAGACGGCAGACAAATACCCGTGGGTTATCTATCAAACCTATCAACTCCGCCATCCCCATGCTTTTTGAGCTGAAACTTCACTGATGGCAGAATTATCAGATAGAGACGGTAATATGGATCCTTTCAGCGGATGAATCACGCTACAAATAGGTTCAAGGCTTAGTCGGCTAAAGTTTGTGCGGGTCGTTTTGTAGTGGCGAGCTTGAGGTCGAACGGGAGACTTCACAAATTCTCTTGCTGAAGAAAACGAGTAGAATTTCTCCAACCTAAATTCCTGCATAAAGTTTTTTTCCACAGGCGTAACACCAAAACGATATGGCGCAAAAGCATATCCTTGATTAACTTCGGGCAGGGGTGAGTTATAAGGTGGAATGAAATACAAATCTGGTTTCTCTGCAGCATTGAGTCCATCAAAATTTGCCAGAGTGAAAGTATCCAATATTGTGGGATAAAGAATCCCGCTATTACAATCACTACTAGTCACAGGAGCATTGCACGCGGGCTCATCAAAACTGGCGTTTATTGACTTGCTGGGAGCAGGAGCGATATGTTTGTATCTCGTTTGTTTTCTGTCCAGTTGTTGTCCGCGATTGGAAGTATTCGACACATGAGACCTTGAATATGTCTCAACGATCACAGGGTAAGGTTTCTCGACACAAGATGTTGTCACCGCAGTGGCGCCCCCCCGACATTCAACCGTAACTGTCGGTGACTGTCGGTGAACGTCGGTAACTTTCGGTGTCTGATTTATTGGGTCGGCTATGATAGTACTCCCGCTACTCTTGATGACTGCAAAAGTAGACACTGTTGCCTGGGATGTTGACGCACGTCCATTGTACTGAGACGACATTGAGACGACACAGGGCCCTACAGTCTTTTGTTCAACAGTCTGAGGGGTCAGAGAAATTGAGGAGGTACTATTTGATCCTTCAGAAAGCTGACGAATGGAAGAATCAGTCGATGTTTCTTCTGTTTCCTTACGCAAAGTAGAACCGCTACTTTCTGAACTCACCACTTCGTCTGCTTCTAGTGAAGCATTGATAACTGTTTGGCTATTTATAATTTCGGTTAAATCTCGGTTGCCCAGCGTATTCATCCCGGCTTTTGAACACAACACAATCAATGCATCAAGAGAAGAGCCTGTAAGGTCCTCTGTCCTTGTAGAAGAACTGGTGACACCAGCCACTTGTTCGTCGGCTACACTGCTCGCCGACTGTGACGCATTCTGACCAATCACAAACAAAACTCCTGATTTAGTCCTAACACTGGATGGCAACACAGCGTCCACGTAGGAATTGACTGTCTCTGGCTGATGTGAACCGCAACGTGCGATGGGTGTCCTTTCAATTTCTTCTGAGCACCTTGTAGATACAGATTGTATTGTATCATCGTCGCTGTGGGTGTTACTCGGTTGTGATAACTTAACACTCTCTTCGTTTAAGTTCTGTATATCCACTGCTTCGCCCTCGTTTGTTTCTTCTTCGTTCTTTGAAGCAGAACAGGTGTTTAGTGAAGACAGATCTTCCCTTCTTTGAAGCCTTCTAGGCACATACTTTTTCCTCCTACTCACTCTTGTTTTAGTTTCATCGCTAAAGGACTCTTTGGCGTAATCGGCATTTTGCAATCGAGGACCATGGCTGGCTCTCTGGCTTCTTTCAATGGAGTTTTCAAATTCATATCTCGCTAACATCTGGTGGTCAAATCCCCACATCCATTCACGGGATTCTTCGCACACAAGATTCGACTCGTTGTCACTAGTTTCACTTTGGGTTTGATTTTGAGTGACTGGTGACACATTGGATAGTATTTCTTCCTGGCTATTTATTCCTGCTTGTTCTTGGCTATTCAACTCGGCTCGAGTTGAGCTGTTTACGTTTGGTAGAGCTTTGCTGATTCCTGTTATATAACAGAACGAAAAAAATTAAGGGAGGGCTACAACACTATGCCCTACTTGTGCTATAGGATCAGTTTACTCTGTATTATTTGAGATTTGAATTTGTTTAGATATTATGAGAGTCCCGCAGTAAAAGCAAAGCAAAGAAAAAATATCCCTTATCCGGAAAATTCATGCAATACGTTAGGTAAAGGAGATTCTGAGCAACTTTAACTTTTGTGTAAATTCAAGCAGCATGTGAGCACCATCAACAATCTTTTTTCGAAGTATGTAGCTTTGGAAACGTGTCAGGTTTTAAGAAAAAACCATAGGCTTCACTGTATCTATTTTAGATCGAATTGTTAGCGTCTAAAGCAGATAATCACTATCCTAAACATACGTAATTATGGTGACAGTGACCACTCGTTACATGAAAAAGTTAGTCACAACATTTTCAACGAAGTTTTAAACCATCGTTCATACCTTGCTGACTGGGTGTGAAAAAGTTTATCCCTAGAGCTTTTTTCTCGTTAGGGATGAAGCTTTCTTCAAGCGAAGATTCTTCAGGATGTTCGTTTGAAGATGACTGGTTACTTTCTTTATCTAACTCGTCTCCGTTGACAATAAAATCCTGGACACTTGAACTACTGGACGGTGGACCATCATCCGAGGTTCTCTCGTCCCCACACGTAACCTGACTTTCCATGCGGCGTCTATTGTCACGCGGACAAATTTAGGTAAGGGAACATGGCATAGTAGTAAAAAGCGGGGAAAATAAGTAGGACAGCATGTCCAAGCCTAACCAGGCCTCAAAGGGTGATTCAGTTTAAGTAACCCTGTGGCTAAAAGGATAACATTCCATGGCCCCTGACTACTTCAATGGTTTAGCAGCCTCCTCTTACCAAAATACTCCTTACATTACAATGTCACTTCCTCTTTTATCTCCACAAAACGGAAGAACCCCTTTGTCGTCTGAGAATAGGAATTGCAAAACCGGAATGCTGCGCAACATATGAGACCAAACTCACCTTTTAGCTTGACCGTGTAATCCGTCTCTTCTGTAAGCCGAGGCAAATGGATTGGCGTCTATTTTGAGTTCGGTGATCTTAAAAACGAAAGAAGGAAAAAGTCAATTAAATGACTCGACAAATGACATTTGCGACATGACATTACAGATGTGCTGCCTAAAAAACAAGTAACCGTAACTCGTGGCGGGAATATTTCGCAAAAATTATTCCTCCCGTGTAAAATGGGGATCATTTGGGAAAATCTTCGCCTCTGTGAAATAGATTTGCTGCCACGATCAGTGGTATGAATTCAGACCATGTCACACGAAACGACTTGTCCACTTGTCTTGTCGCTGTGACTTCTGTGGTGAAACAGGTTAAAACAGGCTGTGTAACCTGTTTCTTCTGTCAATGAAACCTTCCAAGTTTGACAAGCCAAGTAAATTCTATTAAGCATCCTTTATCTTTAGTTTAAGTTAGTGCCTTGGTTAGGGTTGCAGCAAACTCATGTTACTCTCCGTAATACCAGCCCGACTTCAATTAGAAGGATTCTTATCGTATTTTAGGCACTATTCCTTTACCTCGACATGGAAGCTAAGGTACCTCTCCTAAAGAATGTATTATGAATATACGTGGAGTACAAGTAAAAAGGGGTAAGGACAGACCGAGGATTCGTAGGAAAATCTTTGAATCAAAATTAACCTCAAATGAAATGTCAACCGACCCAACATTGTAAGATAGAAGTGTGAACTTACATTCTTGTTTCTGTACTGAGACACAGCCATAAACTCCATCTCAGAGAAGTAGAACTCTTTTCTCAATTTATAATCAAAGTAAATTCCATTGGGACTTTCTAATACGTGAATACGGGGCGTGTATCGCCTCATCGTGCTAAGAAGAATCGCCTGTTAAAAGGACAAAAACATCACTCAGGCCACTGGGGAGGAAATGAAAGGAATGAGAAGCACAATAAAGGCGTTAGCTGGAGCGTTTTAAGTATCCCGAAGTAGTTTGTGGTCCCATCTTTAGTTCTTATTTTGTAGTCCTCTTTAATTAGACATCTGTATGGTAAATTTTCTCTCTAGAAATACCATTTCTCTTCCTTTAGATAGTCCTTTCCATGTTATCCGCTCCTACATCACTTTCACTTCACTTCTAGGTTGTCCTTTATGCGGAGCTTTCGCAAAACAAACTCCACTTCGAAAGAATATCTTTTCATAACCTCAGGGGAATTGGCGTATCCCAAGTTAGGAGCTATCCTCACTGTTCCCTGATTTATTTTAGTCAGGCTTAATACAGGGAGCCAATGAAAACACCTCACTGACACCAAGCGCAGAAGTGACTGTGATCAAGTGACCTATGTCCCAGAACCAGTCACGCATTACAATGCAATTGGTTTGGAAAACTCGCAGATTGCTTGTTTTACTTTGAGTTCTCATTCTCTCCCCACTCTAAAAAGGCCTTACCTGTGGTGATTTTTCCGCCGTTTTAAAACTGTTCGTGAGCTTCAGTGTTTTAAAGGTGAGCCCGTTCATCATGAGAGTGGCTCCATTCCAAGGCGTTTCTGGATGAACAAACACTTTGGCATAGCCTTCCTCAGCCGGTAACTCACGGCAGTAAGGTACCCAGGTATTAGTTCTCGTGTCAAAGGAATATCTGTACTCATCCATCAATACAAAGTCTATCATAACTGTATAAAATTGACGCGGAGTAAGGTCCTCGAACTTCAGTGAGATAATTGGGCACATTCTCCTTCAAAGAGATTTAAGGCAAAGCAGAGAGAAAAAAAATCATCATCTTACATACCAACCTGTGATTTTCATACACACCGAGAAGAGACAAGCTCAAGGCGCTAGGGAAAATCGAAACTAATCAATCAGTTGAACCAAATTAAAATTGTTTATGCCGTATTTTTCGAGCTTCTTCCCATTTCCCACCAGAATTTCAGGTACATGATACTTGAAGCTTCGGGTTTGTCAGACGTCTTGAAAACGTGAATATCAAGTTGCCACGTGATCGCATGAGATTCACTGAATCTTACTAGGGATCTTGTCCACCAGTACAGAAATCGTCTCAAACCATTTCATTGACTTTGCGATAAGGAGGGTAGATTGGAAAATATGGAATGCCGGAATTCGGAACCGGAACCGGAATACTTGGAATACCCGGAACTCCCGGAATGACCGAAAAATAATGAATTTTAAAAAAATGAAAGTAAATTAATAACTAAATAAGAATATTTATGATTAAAATTGATGGTAAATTTACAACTTAATTAAATACTTTAATGATTTAAATAATTTAATAGTATATATTCAAGGTATTTATAATAGACGCGAAAAGGTGTCGAGTAACTGACGATCCGTCGCAATTTTAACTGTAGACGGCTGGTCTTAATGGTAGCTGCTTTGATAGCTCCCAATGTGTGGTTAATAATTATTTTAGGTAGAATAATAGTTCGGAGATTTTTAAACTAATTGGAAATATTGCATTTGTTTAATCTTCTGCAATGGTTCTGGCTGGAAAAGCGTGCGGGCCTAATGGTTATGGCGCCCTGGCTAGACACCCTATAGGTGTGTAAATGGGTGGAGGCGAATTTAAAACGGGGAGTAACCATGTGATGGACTAGCATCCCATCCAGGGGGAAGGGAAAGTAGAAATATTTCATCGCTTAGGCTGTATGAGTACTGGCCTAGCTGACGCAGACCTTTTTTAATTCTAGTACATGCATTTCCATGAACAGTGCCGGTAAGTGTTTTTTTTTTAATAAAGTAAGTTGTGAATTTACCATTAATTTTTAATCATCAATGTTCTTATTTATTTATCTATCTATTTATATACTTTTATTTATTTATTTATTTTTAAATTTGTTATTTTTAGGTCATTCCGGGAATTCCGGGTATTCCCAGTATTCCGGTTCCTGTTCCGAATTCTAGCATTCCATATTTTCCAAACTACCCGATAAGGAGCTGTGTCTGCACTAGAAGGTGTGAGCTGCTAATTACAGATTAGCTAAGCTCCCGAAGTAAAACATTCGTTTTCCTGTATAATTTCTAGCTTAAATTAATGTTATGATAAATCATCGTTTAGCGGAGTCGTTTGGTGGTCTTTAACATACGAATTATATATAAATTATGTACTAGAGTCTCTTAGCATGTAACAATAGCAACTTCCTTAGATTTCTTCTCGTTATAATGATTTCTCTAACATTGAGTCTGTGGTCTTGTCGTCGCCTGTTATAATTGCTGTGCAGTGTGGTATAACAGTGATACTCAACCTTTAACAAATTTCTCCTTTTTTTTTTTTTTTTTTTCAGTTGTGTGTCATAATTTGTGTGTTGTGTAAAAGTGGCGCGGTGTCTGGTTTTTATTTTTCATCGCTGACATCACCTCGACAAACCAGACCAGACCTGCGTCTGTTCTCTCCCTATCACCAGGGTATCAGCGGTGGTGCGAAACCTTGAAGTGATAAGGGCATCTTGTGATAATTAAAACACTTCATGCCCAAAACATGAAATAACCCCATGTCAACTTTTCGAGGGTCATCCTCTCAGTGTTTAGTGTAATAGGGAAGCGTTGATGCCAATAAAATCATTAAAGCGGCGAATGAAATCATTTCAGTGTTGCCTGCATTATGTAAGCTCTGTGGAGATATCCTGTCAAATTTCCCCGACGTGTAATTATTGGCGTGGTGGAACATTGCACCTATGAAATAGTTTGTCACGTACGCACTAAAATACGTCCAGGGTTAAAACTGTTATAAAGAACTTTACTGATATACAAAAGCAAGTGAAATACACAGAACTGCGATCAGATGATGCTGATTGATCGAAAATGGTCTCTAAGATATTTGTACAAACTTCAATTACGGAGAAATACAGAGTCTTATTCATAGACAGTTCCAGTCAGTTCTGAAATGCAGAAGCAATTTTATCCATCTGGTATACTTTCCTTGGGCGTTTGAGACCAAGAGGGTACACCCGTACATATTAAGATAAACGTACCAAAATGACGAATTTCTGAGGTTGACTCTGGAATCTGGTGTACAAAAGCTTAAAACTGACAGGCGGGATTAATTTTCGCATCAGCAGGGAGATTTACAGACTGCGAATAAGCTCCTTGAAAAGGCTTTTTCTGAGTCGAAATGGTCGACAGAAGAAAGCTTTTGTTAATCTAAAAAAACCCTCGTCTCAGATCAAGAGAGTTTACTCACAACTCAGACTAGAATAAAATTCTAACCATACCTGCCGGACTTTGTGATCATCATCTCTGTCTGATGCTGTCTGAATCTCTGCCACAACTCCTTGTTTTGCAAAAGAACTTTCATTGCTTCTGGTAATAAACCCTAGTTTGATACTAACAAGAGGGAAAATTATCTCCGTGTTCTTCTCAATGCTGGTTTCACTGTCACATAAAAAGACAAACCGAAGTAGCCGAGAATAGACAAACTTAATCAGATGTGATGTGAAAATCACATGCGAAAGAGTGTGCTGGTATTAAATAACGCAGCTCGCTTTCGAAAACAATAGAGAGGTGAGATGTTTTCCTGACAGCACCGGAAAAGTCAATCATTACTTTAACATCTGTTCAACATCTGTTTTCTATTTCGATCTTGACAAGTACGCCAGCATGCTGGCCAATGGCCTTCATCGATGAATGGTCTTGAGGATGTTGGATAAAAAAATAAAGCGGGAAAGGAACACCCTGGGGAGAACACGTCACGATATTCTACAATAGAAGTACAATCGAACCTCGATTAACGGCAACTTCTCCATTTTGGTAATTTAATCACAACAGCTACTTTTTTTAATTCCGGTGGTCAGTTCTCATTTCTTTTTTTTTTTTTTTTTCGTATTTTAACTTGAAACGGAAACAGTCAGTACAGTGCGTTCCAATTGCCAAAAGTAATCTTCCCATGATAATCTTTTAACGATGATTGATGAAGCAATTCTTTCAAGTAGACCGGCTTCACTGACAGCTTTTTTTCATTACAGAGATCACATTAGGTTTTGTAAGTCACCCTCTACAAGGTGGATGAACCACTGCTTCTCTCTCTGGTTGTTTCGTTAATGTTTTTTTTTTTCCCCGAACTTGAAGCTCTTGTTTCTTGTTACTGATACAGTTTGATCACATTATGTTTTCTCTGTTACACGAGAAGCATTATTGAAACATGAAATGTGGTACTCTTTAAATAATATAGGTGCAAGATTGGTGTGATACTCGGCCCCATTCTCCCTATAATGTCCAGCTCTGTGCATTGGCCATTCCCTTACGTCGTCATGTCGGATGTAGTGGAACGCTTCAACAATGATAAAAGTTATCAGTGTTTTCGGTTAAATTGGAAGGCTCGTCATTTAAAAAAATGGCCTCCTAATGGACAAAACGACGCATCGCAAAATACTCATCAATACAGGAAAACAAAGTAATTGCAACCTTAGGTTTTAGGAAAAGTTCTAACGAGAGCTGGCGAGAACTTTTCCATTATAATCCTTTTGCGAGAGATCGCTCAGTCTAAAAAAGGATGATAGAATAGCATATATCTAATAAAAGTACACTTACATTGATTTTCGTCAAACTTCTCTATGCAATATGCCTGTGTATCTATAAATCTATCTTATCTTTTTGGATGTATATATTGTTTTGAATGTCCAAATCCATAGTCCTTACATGACTGTTTCGTACAACAATGAACTTTCTCCTTCATTTTCCTTGGTATTATTCCCATCTAAAATCTCTTCTCTTGCCTGCAGTCGCCGACTAAGAAACCAACACAGAAGAAAACTTATAGCAGTAATGAGTTTGCAGCCAATCAACACGGCGAGCAGAACGTGGGCCAGCCCATCATGGTCGTACTCAAGGCAAAACCCCTGGTCACCGCACCTTAAAGTAGAACCGTTTGAAAACTAACTCAGTATTCGCCGGTATTGAACTTCAGATCCCTTCTACACAACAGGCGACTGGCCTTTTAGGGAATTATATGCGCTGCTAATCATGGCGTGATGTACCGGGGTTGCAAAAACGTTCCGGCAATGACTGGGGTTCCCGCAAGTAACGGTTAAAAGTAAAAAGGGGCATTGTTCGTATGCATAGACACCGCAAGGGCAGAAGAGTTTAGTCTTAGGGAAGAGGACCTAAGATTCTCCCAAGTTCAGAATAAATTTTCGGCCATCTGAATTACAATTTTAGGCCTTCAAAAACCTCCTCAATAGAGAATTAACGAGTACTATTTTGCCAACATTACCTAGGGGGACTCGCAACCAATGTGGACACTTGTACCTGTGGTTCAGCCACAACCTGGCCAGTGCTTTTTCGAAACAGCCGTGGGATACTGGTACTCAGATCAGAGTAGACAGGGAAACGACTCAAAAAAAGCTATCGGAAAATTACCATGCAAACCGCTAAATACAAATTCTCTTGAACCCCTTTATAGAAAAAAGGGCGTAAACCTCCGCAGTTACAGGGCAGTGAATTCAGTGGGCGCAAAGCATACGAAAATTTACACGGCTAAAATGTATATAAAGTAGCCATTTTTTACCAGCCCCATGATGTTACATAAGTGCACTCTAGAATGAGTACCTTGAGCTCCAAAGTATACATGTCTTGTCCAAGAGGGTTCCGAATATAAGAGGCGCTGGGACGGCCCCAAGGATTCTCAAAAGGCCATTCTGGAGTCCTAAAGCGTAAGATTGCTGACCAGCTGGTACACTCCTGAAATAAAACCATGTATGTCCTACTTTAACTACTGAGATCACAATGTCACCAGGTTTTACACAGGACGCACCTGACTATAACAATATACATTGCGTATCATACAAGAATCTGGTGTACAGGATAACCAAGCCTCTTGGTTAAGAGGTCTAAGCCGTGCACAATAGGTCAAGGGCTATATTACTCTTAAAAATTCTCCTTGAACATTTTTTTCATTCTCGTAACGGGTTAGGTTCAGATTGTTTCCATAATACACTTTATTACACGACTCGGGCAGTCAGAGGGCCAATAACTAAAATCAACCAATCAAAATGCTCTATTGCCGGTCAATATTCTCTCAGTATTGGACCGGGCACTGTCCCGAATGGTCCCGAATGATACCGCACTTGTATCCCTTTGAACTTCAGTCGTATAATAAATCTCTCATTAACCAAGCTTGCTCGGGACCGTACTGGAAGAATATCGGCCCTCGGTCCGTACTGTCAAGACCTCGGGCCGATATTCTCCCAGCACGGCCCTCGCGCTTGGTCAATAAGATATAGTATGTGATGATAAATACTGAAGTTCGAATTACAATCACTTCCCCAATGGAATCTCTCTCTTCCTCCCTGCCTCATACAATTTCTCCCCTCTACTTCGCTGTTGGAAAACAACTCACAAAAATTTCTCGTAACTAATTTACAAAGTAATTTGTAACAACTAAAGGGGTAAATTAAAAATCAGATCTCGGGAGTTGAAGGGTTAGAGTAGAATACAATCAAACCTTAATGTGACGATGAACGCCGGAACGTTATTTGTAAACGTAAGAAGCGAGACCAAGGTCAAAAATACGATGAACAATATCAACTTAGGCTTGCAGTCAGCGTCACAGTTGCCTTTCTTCAAGTTTCCAGATTTAGCGACGCAGGCGCAGTCAGAGTAAAGAATTGGGCCCTTAAATAAAGTATGATGATAAAAACAGAACAGCTTCATTAGATCATCGATATATTTCACAAAAATACTACCTATGTGATTCAGCTGCCAATTTTAAATGCTGAATCTTATATTAACATAGCACCGTACACTGTATGTTTTACATAGGTGACGTACATATAGCACAGTAATGAGTTTCTTCTAAGCAAAATGAAAAAAAAAACACAGTTAGTAGCGAAGCTTATCACAAATAAATATAGTGACGTGAGGAAACATTTCAGGGTACGCTATACGCCATATACCGTACCTTGCTCGTTGTATTCGCTTTTCTGCAGCCTGCGTGGCACGGTGAAAAATAGTACAGCGGTCCATCACAAACAGGAGAATAGCTCACTCCAGTGCAGTTACAGGCCTGGTTACATGGTGCTGAGAGCTGATAAGGATCAGAGCTGTAAGGATCAAAGATTTGTCATTTACAATTCAAAACAGTTGATAGAATTCAGTTAAAGGGCAAAAATTGCCAAACGAATCGTGCTTCTCGAAAATGAGATGATAGATAAGTCAGCTTAGTGTTGCGTGTTTTCCATTACCAGCTTTCCGTCACATCTTTTGCTTAGATTTTTCTTTCTTTTCACGGGTCAGTAAAAGTTACTTTTGTACTACTATCATATAAAAAAATCTTTGTTTTCTTTCTGTTTTCACCTGTTAGGGTATGGGGTATTAACACCCGCTATGCTTGGAGTGTCACATTTCAGAAACAGCATAGTGCTACAAGCGAGTCCAAACAAACTAACAATGAAACACATTCTGGCGCCACCGATCAAGTTTAGTTTCAGACTTTTGTACTACTATCACATAAAAAATCTTTGTTTTCTTTCTGTTTTCACCTGTTAGGGTATGGGGTATTAACACCCGCTATGCTTGGAGTGTCACATTTCGGAAACAGCATAGTGCTACAAGCGAGTCCAAACAAACTAACAATGAAACACATTCTGGCGCCACCGATCAAGTTTAGTTTCAGACGTTTGTTAATGTATGCCCCTGCAACAAGAAATGCGTTGGCAGTTAGCGATATGATTCGCGATTTACCAAACCTTCAGTCAAGATAAATGATTCCTGGATATAACTTAAATAATCGTTTAAAAGCCTTGAACTTTGTATAAAAAAAAACCCATGTCAGCGAAGCTTCGCTATCTGGCGGCACCTGCCAAAACAAACGAAAAGGTCATGATACGGGCTTAGATTTGATATTCAGGATAGAACGACGGTGGTATATAACTTTAGTGGCAAGCACTCAGTTAGAACGTCGGTGACATGCAGTTGCAAAAGCAGTGACGCAGTCGAGGAATAGCTGGCCCTTGTCTGCTTGTTCTTTCACTTGCCTATGCCTATCTGAATCACTTGCGCTTAGAATACAGTTCAGGTACTTTTGCTACGTCGCGCCAAGATCCCGCACGAGTTTGGCGAGATTCCCACCGGGATCTTTCCAAGATTCCTGTCGAGATCTCTCATGTGGTAGAGATCTCTCATTTAGTAGAGATCCCGCAGGTCTTTTGTGATTGATTACCAGTTCTAGACACGACTCACCCAATAAGTTTCCAACTAGTGCAGATGGTACAACCGTCAAACCGTAAATTAACGCGGATCTCTCTGGCATCTGGTAAAACTGAACTTCAATCACTTTTGGCATGAACATTGCTGAAACTGTGATGGCGAATTCCTCTAAACA